CAATTAGAGGAGTGAAAGCAAGTTGAGTGGGAAGCAGTGCCTGGCTAGAGCTACTTCCTCCTGTAGCACTTTGTCCACGTATCTCTGGACTTGAAAGTCAAGAAACCAATATTTTGTATCAGAGATTTTGGCTGCTGGGTGTGATTCCTATAGTCCAGCTACTCAGGAGGCTGAGGCAGGAGGATTGCTTATTGCTTGAGTCTAGGAATTCAAGGCCAGCCTGGGCAACATAGTGAGTAGCACCACTGAGCTACATCCCTAGCCCTTTTTATTTTGAGACAAGGTCCAAATTGCTTAGGGCCTTGCTAAATTTCTGAGCTGGCTTTGAATTTGTGATCCTCCTGCTTCAGTCCCATGAACCCCTAGGATTATAGGCATGTGTCACAGTGCACTGCTAATTTGAGCTTTTTGAAGCTAAATGTTATCCAATAGTAGGAAATTATATAATGTGTTGTTCATGTTTAATATTTTATTGATACAAAGATTTTTGTGAGTTCTCTGCATATCTAGAGCAAGCTGACATAATTTTTAATCTGTGCAAGCTGTATTCAGGCAAGGATTCCTAGACTTATTGCTTTATAACCTAAAAAATTTCTTCTCTCTCTCATCCTGTTTTCTCATGTAAAATGGAGATATGGATAGTAACTATGTCATATGGAAAAGTGAGACAATGCATATGCAGTGCTTTGTATGACAAAGTAGGAATTAATGAGCAAAAGCAAATTAATTTTCTCAGTGCCAAATATGTACTAAAAGTAAAGTTTGCTGTCAATGCTCAACTCATTTATAACCTATCGTTGTGTGATGAAAAGATTACTGAGGTAGGAGCTCTAGTCCATAGTTTTAACTAGACAAATTAATCTCTCTGAGTTTCTGGCTCTTTTTCTTTATAATAAAGGAGGCAGGCTAAAACATCTCTGAACCTAGGGCATTGAGCATGCTAGGCAGCTACTCTACCACAGATTCACATCCCCAGATCTATAATTAAAATGTAAACAAAGTTAACATAGGAAGTATTATAGTATTATGTGATTGAAATCTATTTATATATGTATATTTTATACATATGTGTGTATGTATATATAATACACACATACACACACATTTTTTTTATGGTACTGGGCATTGAACCCAGGGCCTTGCATATGCTAGGCAAGCGCTTTACCTTTGAGCTGTAACCTCAGCCCTTTTTATTTTATTTTGAGACAGAGTCTTACTAAATTGCCCAGGCTGACCTCCAATTTGTGATCTTTCTGCCTAAGCCTCCCCAGTACTTGGGATTACAGGCATATGCCACCACGCCTGGCAACAACTTATATTTTAATTAAATGCACTTCAAATTAAATTTTTATTATGCAATGTCTATACTACAAATAGATACAGAAAGTGTTATAGGTACCTGTCATTCACTATAAGAATACTCAATTCATTTTTTATGAATGTGGAAATTCTGAGGCTGAAGTTCACCTATATTTAATGATGAAAGGCAAGATTGAAATCGTAGCTAGGAAAAAAAAAAGGAAAAGGAAATTACTTTGGATGTCCATTGTTTCTGGAAGATACACACATACCTTGTGCATTGACATTATATTAGTTGAAATCAAAGCAGAGAAAAGGCTTCTCCTTTTTGGAACATTTCATCTAACTGAAATATAATAAATATAGCTTAGCTTACAAAACACACCTAAATAAAATAGACCTTGAATTTGACTTTATTTTCAATATGAAGCTTGCCACAGCCATCCAGTTTCCACCTGTGGATATAGAATTGACTTGGATTAAAATCCTGACTCCTTTCCTTTGTAAGGGTAACCTTGGGCAAGTTATGCAAATTCCTCTGTGCTTTAGTTTCTTTGTAAAATGGAAGTTACTTTATGGTTGTTTTGAATATTAAATGAGATAATACCTATAGGATGCTAAGAACAATGCCTGATACAGAGAAAGCTAATGAGAATTAGCCACTATTATTATTTAGTTCTATAAATAATTTATTAGATGTCTATTATGTGGTAGTTTCTGTACCAAACCCTGAAATAGCTCTGGGACTCTACGTTTTTGTTTGTTTCTTGTCTATAAACAATGTGTTAAAGCTGGGCAGGTCAGAGCATACATATAATCCTAGTTACTCCGGAGACTGAGGTAGGAGGTTGACAAGTTCAGGACCAGCTTCAACAACTTGGTGACAGCCTGTCTCAAAATAAAAAACATAAAAAGACTGAGCATGTAGTTCAGTGGTAGAGTGTGCTTGGATTTCATCCCCAGAAATGCAAACAAATCAAAACAAAACAAGTTAATCTAGAAAAAAATGTCACTTGGAGTCAGAGGACATTTTAATTTGAGAGGGAATATGAGACGTAAATGAAATTGTTACTTAAGGCTTTGCCTTTAAGTTGTTGAATTACTGTGCCAGGTTTTATAGAGTGCATTTCTGCATATTAAAACCACAGTGACATTCAAAGAGTCAAACATGGCTGATTAGACTTTTTTGTCCTGTATTTATAAAAAGGTTAGTGGTGTACTTCCTCACTATAAATTATTTTTGGTTCTTACTAATATTTTCGAATATAATAAAATCTACAGCACAATGTATGTGATTAATTTGTCCCAGGGATTAGTTTGCTTTTGTTTAGGGAACTATTCCAGCAGTTACTACAACTTGACCGCTGATTTCAGCAGATAGGGAATAGCAATAGACAGGAAAGGGCAGTTGTACTTTAGCTTTATGGGGCAAGATGAGAAATATAATTACCGTAATAATGTATTCTCTTATGTAAGTTTATCATGAAATGGTTCAGGAAGTTTCATCAGGATACTTCCTGGTGATTTTCCAGGCTGGCCTAGACAAAAAGTGATCAGTGATGTCTGGTCTATGAGTGGCCTTCAATGGATGTGCCCACAGGCATTAAAAGCAGGTTAACAGTTGCACATGACAGTGGCACACTCCTGTAATCCCAGCAATTTGGGAAGCTGAGATCGGAGAATCACAAGTTTTTGTTTTGTTTTGTTTTGTTTTGTTTTGAAATTGTGATATTGAGGATTGAACCCAAGGACACTCTACCACTGGTTATATTCCAAGTTCTTTTTATTTTTTTTATTTTGAGACAGGGTCTCACCAAGTTTCCCATCCTGGTCCCAACCTGGATGTGAATTTAAGATCCTCCTGTCTCAGCCTCTGGAGTCACTGGGATCACAGGAATGCAGAGATTTATAAAATTTAATATGCATACTTTTTAATTTTTTTTTGGTATTGGGGATACCAAATTGGGGATACCCAGGGGTGCTTAACCACTGAGCCACATCCTCGGTTGTTTTTATATTTTTATTTTGAAACAGAATGTCCCTAAATTGCTTAGTCCTGTTTTAGTCTCCTGAGTGGTTGGGATTAGAGGTGTGTGCCATGGGCCCTGGCATGGAGGATCATAAATTTGAGGCCAGTCTGGGCTATTAAGTGAGACCCTGTCTGAGAATAAAATAAAAAGGATTAGGGATATAGCTTATTATTTGCCTAGTATGTACAAGAACTTGGGTTCAACCCCTAGTAGCCAGTAGGGCTGGTGGGGGAAAGCAAGTTTATGGCAATTAATTCCATGAAAGTGTTGACCCTTTCGTCTAAGTAATTCAGCTTTGGCTGGCTTGGGTACTGGTTTGATTGGTTATTTCTGGATTTATGGATTAGTATTAAGCCACATATATTGTACCTGTTATATGTATCTACCTATGCTCTTTTGTCAGATACTTAATATTTGGTCATTAATGTCTCCTATGGGTCCATCATTTGCATAATTTACAGTTAGGAAACTGGACATTCATCTTACAATCCTTCCATTATCCAATCTCTTCTGAGATGGAAATAACTAGGCAAGTTTTCTGAAAAACTTTTGGTATAAAGGAGAAAAATGAATAGCCCCTTCTTTACAATAGGCAAATCTAACAACTCAAGCATTGTTCAAGAAAGGAACAATAATATGCCAATCAGAGATAACCTGGAAGCTCATTTGGTCCAACCTAGTTATAGAAGGTTGTTTAAGGACATAAAAACATTCTGGATCCTTTGGTCCTTTGTACTCCTTTTCCGCCTACCCCATTTCCTCAAGGATGGTGATGACTTTTAAATATTTAAATTCTCCCCACAGGCACCCTACCTAAACTCCAAACACAAGTGACATATCGCTGCCCCGAGGGACAGAAAGTGCCTAAGACAACTGCTCCCCCTTACCCCTACTCCTCCACTAGGAGCAGAACTGAGAATGAGCGGGACGCAGATTGGGATAGATGGGACAGGACGTGGGCCTTCCTGGTCAAACAAAACCACACCACACTCTACACTCTGTAAAAAACGAAGCAAAAACAAAATCAAAAACAAACGAACAAACAAAAAACTTAGGCTACGTGGCTGATAACTACGCCCGGCTCAGAAATTGCCCGTAAAACGCGAAAACCGGGCTGAGCTGGCTTCCAGGCGGTCTGGGCCCGGGCGAAGTTCCCGGGATCCCGGGGCCGGGCTCAACTGGCAGGACCCGGCGCTGCGCTCCGGGGACTTTCACCTGCTCCGCAGGC